TACGGCAAAAGTCTATAAACCGGCAGTTGACTTCTCACTTCAAACTACCATGACCCGATTGTATGTCATATTCGACCACTTCCGCAGTACTCACCTCTCTTTTGCCTCTGCCTTTGTGTCTGTCTCTTTTACATCTGTGAATCCCTCTCGAATTTATCTCACTTTGATGTTCCTTCCCTTCTGTGAAGCCCGAAGTCAACTAAAGGACTAATGATACCTGTCAAAACGCCTGCCATTTGATATAAATAAATAATTCATTCGTACCCACATATTCCTACCACCAGTCACTCAGATGCCAAATGCACACCAATGAAACTATGTCAGCAATTTTAGACTCTTAACTCCGTAGCCCCTTTCCTCACCTCACTAACAATCTCCACCAGTGGTCCATAAAAGCCTTAATCAAAGTCTTTCACACTGTCTCATCACTACTTTAGGTAACTTTTGATTCGATGTTCTAAAATTGCAAAAAATTTCAGCAAATACAACATTAGTGAATGACTCATGCTTAGGAGAGAGTAGACATAACAAACTAAATAGAAACCCTTTTCAACCAAACGCGTCTTGAAAGCTGCAAGAATTAACCCCTCTAGAAGCATCTTTTAGAGCTTTCGTCAGTTTTTTTTCAGAAATCAGTTCATCATGAGCAACAGCATTTACCGAAAAAATAAGTCGAAGCAAATCATTGAAAAAGAGGAAGGAGGGAAGGGGGGTGGGATTTGACATCTCAAATCGGCCAATCCAGACCTGAGAACTGACTGGCTAGCTGTGAGTTAACATTACTTCAACTTATTCATTGCCTTCCCCACTTCGTTTGAGAAATTTCCAGAATAAATCTCATTACCTCGCGACTGGTACTTGGCGCTGCTCAATAGAAGCATCGGTGCTCCTCACTTAATTGTAACAACGTTATAATGCACTACATCTGAATCCTACTACTGAAACTAGACCGATAAACTACTACGACACAAAGGATGTGCAATAATACAATAGTACAGTATTAAAGTTAGAAAAAAAAACAAATCTTATAAAAAACATACGAAATTTTGACCAAGTCGTTCTAATTGACCCTCTAATTCCACAATCTGAAATTAAAACCATCATAATTATATGAAAAGCGATAAATCTCACAGATGAAATGAAGAAAAAACTAGCCTTTAATTTGGCTTCGTTCAATTCTTTCTCCTTTTCAGTGATTTGGTCATTTTGAGTGGCATCCATGGTAACAATATGCTGAGCCTGACGCTCTGACAGGCTTCTAAGTTCAGACAGCTGCCGCTTGAGGTCTTTAACATCTGAATCCTAGAAATTAAAAAAAAACAAAAATGCTTTGAGAACCATATCAAAAGGCGTATGGAAATAGTAGAGATCTCAACTCCGACTCACTGCATCTTTATGTAAGTTGTCAATCTGTGCTTGAAGCTGAGTTATCTGAAATGGGTGAAGGCGCTTTGGAATGAAGGCATGACACAGAAGCATCAAAAATAGTACATGGAAATTACCATCGCGTTTGCCTCATCAAGAGCCTTGTCCTTTGCAGACAAAGTGTTATTCCGTGTTTCCTCAAGCGATTTAATATGCTCCGCTTGTCGTTCAGATAAGTCACGCAGTTCGCCTATTTCCCTCTCAAGATCCACTGAATCTGGAATCTATAAAAAGAAAGGAAAGCATAGGAAAAAGACGAGGTAAAAAAACCCAGGGTACCAAAACTTCCTATTGAAGAAGTGTAAACACTTACGACCTGCATTTCAGTATCTGCAATACATGAAGGACCGCTAAGAACGCTGCAGATATTCAAGTCAGAACCAAAACATCCAATAGTTGGTCAACGATTATGCCAAAATATACGTTATCGCTTCTGGGGTGTGCGATAGACTTACCTCCATGTGGTGCACCCTGGGCAACGTATACTCAT